GATAAAAAGTATAGGGCTCTATGTGTGGTATACTGCTGTTTGTCATAGTTCGTCGTCTGATACATTTTTAATCCTGCCTTCAATATACCTGCAGAAGCGAATCAGGAAAAGATTGTAGAAGCTGGTGGTCTTACTTCATTACTGATGCTTCTTGGTAGTTCAGAGGATGAAACTATTCGCAGAATAGCAGCTGGTGCAATTGCAAATCTTGCAATGAGTGGTGATTCTCAATCTATCGATCTCATTTTCTTTTCCTCTTTATTTCCCCTGCAGAGGGTACTTTATGTCCTTATCGAGGCCCTTTGTCTGGTAAAACTACTATGTTCTGAGGATTAGTTTCTGTCTTTTCAGAAGCAAACCAGGAACTTATAATGACTCAAGGTGGGATTGCTCTGTTAGCGGTGACAGCTGCTGACGCTGAGGATCCTCAAACATTACGCATGGTTGCCGGAGCCATTGCTAATCTATGTGGTAACGGTAAGCTCATTCACTTTTCTGTAGGCTTACCCCTCTCCCCGTCCCCACTCCTCAGCCTTTCAGATCATGGTAGGAATAGCTCCATCTTTTTTACTACCATTTTCTCTGTGTTCATGAAACCAATGAGGCCCTACCGATTTAAGTGACTCTATCAAGCTGCAATTCATTCTTGTATTCAGTGAATTTAGCTTCAGTATGGTCCCGTGACTTCCTTGAAGGATTCCATCCAAGTTTTACTTTGTGGTCATGTAATCCTTCTTCTTCCGTCAATTAATCCAGCCCTTGATCGTGGTATATATTTGTATTCCAGATAAACTACAGACAAGACTCAGGTTTGAAGGTGGTATCAAGGCACTATTAGGGATGGTGAGATGTAGACATCCAGACGTTTTGTCACAAGTTGCACGGGGAATTGCAAATTTTGCAAAGTGCGAATCCAGATCTTCAGCTCAAGGTAAGTGCTGCACATGTCAATCTTGTTTATCAAATTACCATGTTTCTTAAGGTTGATCTGCTACAACAGGCCAGAACGCTGGGCGTTCTTCACTGTTAGAAGATGGTGCACTTCCATGGATTGTTCAAAATTCCAATAATGAAGCCTCAATGATCAGGCGCCATGTTGAACTGGCTCTCTGCCATTTGGCACAACATGGTATGCAATCCTATCCTACCAAAGAGTTTGGGATACATGCATTGCATTTCTCATCACTATACTTAACTTTAAGTTTCACCTGTCTCTTCCTATCCTCAGAGGTCAATGCAAAAGACATGATCAGTGGGGGAGCCCTTTGGGAGCTATATCGTATCTCACGTGATTGCTCTCGAGATGACATAAGGTCTCTTGCACGTCGAACTCTGACTTCAAGTCCGACTTTCCTAGCTGAAATGCGACGCTTGCGGATAGAGTTATAGTTAAGTTATTGGTTTCACTCCAGGGTCTTGAGGCAACACCTAAATCTTGAAATGCACATGCATAGTGTACATGAACAAGTTCCTGAAAAGTGATTGCTCACAATTTTGCATCGAGGGAGTGCATCAAGCAAAATCCTCTTAGAAGAAAAGTATCCACATTAAATAGTTTCTAGTGTGTAGTATTTCTATGTGCTCTTAAGTTTCAGTGAGAAGCTTACATTCTTTCATTTTTCTTTGGGTTCTGGGGTAGGAATTCATCCCTAAAGCGGTTGCTTCAGCTTCAATATTGTATTTTTGTAAGCATGTAATTATAATATAACTAATGAAATTGTTTTATTCTTCATTTGCGGAAGACTTGATTTCTGATTGATATAATGAAACTACTAAAGTTTTTTCAATTACCCCCTTCCCTCGTTGTCTACCTTCTATTAATTGCCGAAGATCGTTGTGATCTTGTTTGTAGAAACGGAAAAAATCTCTAGTGTCTTAAGTTAAAACCTGCCAAGTGAAGGTTTAGATATAAGTTGAGGATAAAAGAATATATTCCTTTGCGGTTTTTGGATGTTGTGCATGATATGCTGTGCTATTAAACTGTAGGTCCTATCCTCATGTGCTTTTACAACACCTAAGTTGAACCCTCTCTAACAAATGAGGTCATCAAGTGTAAGTGCTATTACTGTGAGACCGTGTGAGTTTGGGGAGTAGTACCTCCAACAACCCATTGTAAATGTGTAAAGAAAGCCATTCCAACATTTTCCTCTCTTTCTTTTGGTTGGGTGAAGGAGAAGAGGTAGAAGAAAGCCGGAAACCTTCAGTGACAATGACAACTCAGATTGACTCCAACATCATTTTCCCTTACTAATTTTTCAATAAGTTTTTAGCCTTTAGTTTCTTTTATATATGTAATTTGCAAAAAGAAGATGGAGATTTTGAATATCTATCTTTATAATCTAAATTGTAGCCTTCAAGTATAAAATCATCAGTCCTTGTTTTATATTGCTATATTTATTTGATTGAATGCTGGGACTTGGTGAGTATATTTCTATGGTATTCATAAATGGACTAATGGAATTTGTTGTATGAGACTAACATCTATAAAAAGAAAGACATGGTTGTGATTCTCTCGTTGACGTTGCATGAAACAGAAAAGGAAAAGAAGACGATTCGTACCAACCAAATGCATAATATATCTTTCAACTTGCACTATTTTGCAAGACCTATCGTTCTGTTAATTGTCTCACGAATTCCAGAAATCAAGCGATTATGAACAACAACGGGTCCTTATATAAATGATAGAGTTCAAAAAGAAATTTTGATTTCTTTCCCATATTTACGTACTGTTCTTTTTTTTTTCAAAAAATTTGATCAGTATAAGGATAAGAGCAAAGCAAACTCATAGTAGCGCTCTATAAGCGTATTTTCTTGACCATTCCCAGATCACAGCGCCTCTACGTATATTTAAAAAAAAAATGTGCATATAAAAAAATATAAGTACTAAATAAACAAAATTTGTCCAAATGAATAAAATCAAAGGTGATCCCAACGACAGGAACTGGAGCCTCGCGAAGGATTTAGAAGTTTTGTGGTTGCATATACAGTCGATCGAGCATATATGATTCTCTCATGATAACATGCTAATTTTTCCAGATGCAATTTGGAGGGCTGTTGAATTTTTAGGAGTAAATCAAATCATAGTTTACTTAAACTCCAATTTTACCCCATCAAGGTTTTTTATTTTTCACCATAATTTTGAAAATGACGGTGGTTAATATATCTGAAACATATAAAATATGGTTAATTAATCTTGCAGTGGCCCAATTTATTATTACGAAAATTGTCAAATATAAAACCAACAACCATTAAGAATTTAGTCTTGTGACCAAAAACAAGCAAGAGGTGGAATACCACAAATTCCACAGAAGTTAGTTATGAAAAATCCAGCCAAACAATAGGAATTAAACCAAACACGGTTCGGAATAAAAAGCGATATATTAATCCGAATTAACATGATCTAAATAAAAATTGAAGTTATTTGCATTGCCATCATTTTTATCACGCTGTCAATTATTACTTCTATAGAGATTTACCTATAATGACATGATTGTTAGACTTATACTAAAAAAAGATAATTGCACGTAACTTTCCATAGCAAGTACGAAGGAACAATGACGTATAAAATAAAACAAACAACCAGCAACTAAAACATGCACGTTAAAATTAAAAATTGCTATCCGTGTGTATAACTTATAACCGTTGTATCACAATGTTGCACTTTCTGCGTCTAAAAATGAAGCAATCATGGTGGATGTGATTGATTATAGAATCCTTTATGATTGAAACAGACGATGCAAAACGAAGAATAGAACTGAATGCAGTGAACCAAACTTAAGTTTAAACCCGTTATTGAATTCTTGAAACAGTCTAACTTACCTGTAGTCATCTGTAGGTTGATCATTCCTTCTCAAACATCTAGCTGATGGGCAACTACTTTTGAAAGATTTCTATACGGATGACTCGAAGATCAGTCTTAAGTTAATATCTTCATCGTAGAAAATTCTATGATATTTTGAGGGGAAAAAAAAAAGAGACCGAAGTGGAAACATAGTATTAGCTTCGATGTGGAGAGTACTAAGGGGAAAGAGGGGATTGAGCGGTGGCAAATACAAAATTAACGGGTTTTCAGGTTCGGCAAATACACACAAAAAAAATCTGACATAAACTAGTATATATATNTCATGGGCGAATATAGTGTAGCTTTGGATTAGACCCTCTATACATATGTTAATTAAAAAACTCGCCAAATAAGTACAAGTAGTATAACATATTTTGAATCCACTAACTTAGACAAAATGTGAAAAAAATTTAAAATTCAAATTTTAGATCTACCGGAGTTAAAGCAAGGAGAAGAGAAGTTGTGCGCTAGTTGTTGTGGGTAAAGCCTTAGTATGGAAGTGAAAGTGTTAGTTGCCTCGAAAAGGAGCTAAGTTCAGAGAAGTGCACGTGTAACTCCCCACTACCCAATGTTCATGTCTGCCTAGCTAAGGCTAAGCTACTCCTGCTCTGCTCACTTCATAGTATTAACCCTAAATAAATATAGTACTCACTTACTTCAGTCAAAAAGCAAAACTCGAAGAATACTAAATGTGACCATACCTCTCTGCGTAATTCATCACTCGTGCCCATTTTTCTGCATGTTCTCTCATTCTTTTGTCTAATTTCCACTACTTTCTTTCTTTCTGCTTCCTACCTACACTTTTCCTTTTTTCTCATTAACATCACCACTGCGAGCAACTGATGTTATAATGGCGCCGCTTCTGCTAATAATGATGCTGCCGGCCTGCTGCCGCCCTCCATAAAGTTCCTCCATAATTAGAACAAACTATGAAACAAGATAATATTGAACCCTTTAATATTGAACCTGAATTATATTCTGTTACTAAATTATAGAAAACTAAAAGAAAGTAAAATGAAGAGGCTTTTTGCGACTGTGGGGAGTGAAAGACTGATTATCTTCTATGAGGAAAAGAAAGTGAGAGATGAGAGAAGAGACAGTTCATGTCATGCACCTTTGGTTAACATCTTTAATTTCTACCATCCACATAAAATAAAAATAAAAATGAGAAAGAAAAAAATCCACAAAGAATTCTTGAAATTTTACATACCTCACTAACAATCAAAAAGTAAAGATCACTACTAGCTAATTAAACAGATTAAATAACTCCACAAACACGACTAACACTTTAGAAGAAGTAAAGGTGATCAACAAAAAGTAATGGAGAAGAAGTTGTAGTAGTACTACTGTACTAGTAATAATATTGGAATTCGGAAACCATGTCCAGGATTAATGCCAAAAAAAAAAAAGATAAAAAAAGACAACTAGTTTTTGAAGTTTCCCAAATTGTTTATCAATAAGGAGGACGACCTGCTGTTCCCCAATAAGCCTCAGCTGGTAATTGACATGAATTTAGAAGATTTGGTGGCAACCCTTGTAGTAAATTAGCATTTGGATCACTATTACCACCCATAATTTGCTGTTGATGCTGCTGTTGGTTACTTACTATTGGTAAAGCCCCACTTCCCTGCTGCCCCACCGGCGATTCTTCGTCTTCAAGTGGAAGCCTTTCATATGCTGCATTTCCAAACGAAGCTGCCATTATCACAACTGGACCCGATGCATTTAACGGCCCGACTACGCTACCGCCAACTACTTGGCCTTGTCCTCCGGCCAAGTATATCGTCAGTCCCGACGCTGCTGGCGGGGCTGGCGGTGGCAAGTAAGAGCCAGAAAGAGATAAAATTTCGAATCTTCCATGTAAAGTTACCACCGCGCCCGGAGACGCTGGCTGCCTAACAGTTAAAAATTAGAGTGAGAATACATATCACTTAGCAGGTAAAGCTGTGGGAATTATAAATTTTTTAACCTTACCTTATTGTAACGTTTGTGACAGTTCCACTACCACTTAATATGCAAACTCCTCGTTGGCGCCTGGTGGCGAAAGTGGAGATACTTTCTTGGATATCACAGCCGCTGGCGATTTCCATAACGTGAGATCTAAGGGCATTAGCGCTATCGCGAGTGATTATGATGGGTGGTTTTGGTTTGTTTTTGGAACCAGCTGGTCTTCCTCTTGGTCTTCTTGTGACTTCTCCACCCTCTCCCGAATTTCCTTTGCTGTCCATAGAGGCGGATTCAGGATTTAAACCTGCTGAGATGCTAAAGTTATCGTCACGATCCCGTTTCTGGTTTCGGTGTCCGCTTTGTTGTTCGTCTTCAGTTTTGGGTTGTAGTTGTTGTTGTTGTATGTGATGGAACTGGTGAGGATTATTCTGTAACTGAAGATCTCTTGTGTGAAAAGGAGGTGGCAAAGGACGGCCATGAGCTGTTAGTTGATCCATCTTTTCTGGGAGCTTATTCTTCTTCTTCTTGAACTAGAACTGAGTATTTTCTTGGAACTTGCAAATTCTAGCTCAACTGAATAGAAGTAAAAAAGAAAATTTGCTAAGAGGGTAGAGCTGAAGTATCAAATTAATGGGTGTTCCTAACCTTCACTAGAAAAAAGTAGGAAAGGAGAAGTGAAGTCAGCCAACAAATTTTCAGGTGAAAGAGGTGAATCAACCATATCTGAACACTATAATTAGCTCATGTAGCAAAGTGTAGAATTATCCTTGGTTTGTTTGTTGTTCAGTTTCTGATCTTCCTTTTCTTTTGGTGAGGGTTTGGGGGAAAATGAAGAGAGAAGAAAGAAGAGAGAGAGAAGGGTGAGTTGGAGAAATTAGATACTTTTATTAAAAGTTTTTGTGAAGGGGGTTTGGGTTATAGTAGTATTTGGGTTAGGGTTAGGTCGATAGAGGGTGAAGGGGGGCTAGTTAGAGGAGTGTTGAGATGGGGATGATGAGTTCGGTTTTGGTAAAAGAGACAGCGTGCGTATGGGCGGTGGGAACATGGGACCCTTCTCCTTTACTTCTTTCTCTCTCCTTTGTCTCTCTTTAACAAAAAACTCCTTATTTTGGGTGGCTGGGGTGAGCTTTGGTTTGGTTTCATCATCTATATATTAGTAACATGTTGTAAAAAGCTTTTCGCTTTTGCCCTTGTAAAGAACACATGCCTATTGAACAAATTTATTTGGATTCAACATGTACACACAATTAATAAATGCACGATATATTCGTTAATGTTTAATAATAAATAATTAATACTCCTTCCGTTTCAATTCAGTTACTGAACATATTTGATTGGAAATGGAGTTTAAGAAAAAAGAAAAAATTTTAAACTTTTGATGTAAAAAAGAGGTACAAATATTTTGTTTGATTATAAATCAATGCATAAATATAAATATTTCCAAATATGAAAATGAGTCATTTTTTTGGCAAAAACTAAAAAGAAAATAGATTTGTGTTATATTTGTGGCTCTGTTTACTTCTTTTCGTTTTTGTTTACTACTTACTACAAGTCAATGTTCAGTTTCACGGTTTCACCTCAGAAGTCAAGTATTGATACTCTTACGGACTTTATTGAGAAATAGCAGTGGCGGGGGAGGAGTAGTTGAGAAGCGTTACGAAAATTTGGACCCGGAATTCACGTAGAGAGAGTAAGTGCCATAACGAGGGAGCTAGAAAAGAGAATAAAAAAACTCGTAGTTTAATGCAAAGAAAAAGAAGAAAAATTAACTGGAGGTTCGTCTTTGCAAAGGTGATAAAGACAGCAAGGACAAACACACGCACACTCAGAGAAAGGAAGAGAGTGAGTGAGTGTGTGTGTGTATTTGGCTGCTCCCCCAGAAGACACGGTCTGATCATCTTGGGTGGCTTTTATTGTTTTTTGGGGAATTGGCTCTTTCTCTCACATGAATTCCTCCAAATCCCACTTTTCATTTTCATTTTCTTTTTTTTAGTCTATACTATATCCTTAGATCCGGATGCCAAATCATTTACTACTCAACCTCGTTTCATTTTACATAACGGCTTTGACTCTATATGAAAATTTTAACTCAAAAACGAAGAGGGCAAAAAAGTGGAAGAGTCAAGATATAAATAAATAAATAAAAGAGAGAGTAATTAAATGCACCAATCGAAGTTTAAAATGTCGCGAAATGCACTATATGTGCGTCACTCATAGTCTAATACTACTATCTTCCAAATAAAGTCCACTACCGAGTGTCAAAATGGACCTTTTTTCTAACAATTTTTACCTACTTAAGCTCCCATATCTCGAGTGCTAATGTGCAAAGTGGGAAAGAAGGGAAATAAAAATACACTTTTGCCTCCAAATAAACAATCGCATGAAGAATTGAGAACGACTAAACAAGTGCGGGTCTATCAGATTGCTCTATAATTTTAAGGTAATTAAGTAAAATATTTTGATGCGTGGAATTATCATCTTTCATTTTGTTGAGTTCATATTCTTGGACAATCCCCGTCTCATCAACTAATTTTTTAAGTTGTGTTTGATCCTAAGGTCTATTTTCTTATCAAAGGTTTGTCATACTTGTTTTGAGTAATGGTTGTTCTCATTGGTAATTAGCATAACAATAATTTCTTCCAATGGTTATATATTAACTCCCTTAATGATGAGAACTATTAAACCGTTAATAACTCTCAATCTTTTATATGACTATAAATTTAACTCCCTAATGATATATATATATATATATATATATATGAATGATCACTTAAAGGCTAAAGGGTATCTTAATCCTTACTGCAAAATTTTGAATTTTTTTTTCATTTAACAAATTTGAATAATCACAAACCAGCTCAACATGAATAAGTCGAAAGAAATATTTACAGCATAAAATAAAATATCTGAATTTTGTGTAACAATAACATAACTAAGCTGTATTATATTGTCACTAGTCTTATATATTTCGGCCTTCTAGTCACAGGCATGCAGTGGGCATTTTCAATGCTAAAAGAGAGGAGTTTGAGGAGAGATATTGGTCAAAGGGAATTAGTGATGTGCTATTGGAATTAGAAACCAAAGAGAATGGGCGTGATTGAGAAGCAGAGTGGGTTGCACTGACCACCTGACACCAAAAAAGTTGCCACGAGCGCTCTTCTGCTACTTGCATTCTGCATCTGTCTTCTGCTGCAATTTTATTGTTTTGGCCATGGCCAATGAAACTTGTTCTAATATAGTAATTTACATGAACTGAAACATAATAATAATTATTACGTTTGTTGCTGTTATTATTGTTATATATTTTAATTTCTTTTGGAAGAAAAATCTTAGTCCAATGGTAAAAGTTAGCGTCAAATGATGGTTCAAGCATGAAAATTAGCTTTGTATAAATATACAAGTAAATGAGCTGCATACGATTGACCTAATGTTATTCGACTTATACACAAATCATGAGTATTATTGAGTATAGTTAATATTAATACATTCATTATTATATTATATAATGTAAAAGCTAGCAGATTTAGTTAGTTTTTAGCTTAGTCAATAAGTGGTTAGCTTAGTCAACATGTATAAATACTTCTACATTTAATGAAATCAATACAGAGTTCTCATTACACGAACAATGTCAGTGTTTTCACTCTCTCTATCTCTCGCTCCCTTTCTTCTCTCCTCTCAGAACACTCTAGAGAACTCCATGGGAGTTCTATCATTCTTAGCTTGCATGCAAAATTGTTATGGTATCACAGCCTGGACATCAGCTCGGATTCCTTCAGCATCTCCATCTTTCGTTCTGAATTTCATCTGTCCTCGTCATTCTCTAGGGTTTTGGCCATTGCCGCCCAATTCTGAAAATCATTCCACAAATTGAAGATCTTAGACCTAATTGAAGTGTTTATACTCCTCAATTTCATCGAATCGAAACTTCGCACATGGCTATCGACCAAATTGAAGAGACCACTTCTGGTACGAGCAGAAATGACCAATTGGTCATCGATACAGGTAATCCCCTCTATATTCACCCTTCGGATAGTCCTGGAGTGACTTTAGTACCAGTTCCGTTCGACGGAATTGGATATCGTTCCTGGAGAAGAAGCGTGTTGCGAGCTCTGTCAGTTAAAAACAAATTAGGGTTTTTTAATGGGGAATGTAGAAGACCTAGCCCTAATTCGCCTCAATTCCGTCAATGGGAGAGGTGTGATGGCATGGTAACCTTGTGGATCCTCAATTCCCTTAATAAGAAAATATCTGACAGTGTGGAATATGTGAACGATTCAGTCGAGTTATAGAGGGAATTAGAGGATCGTTATGACCAAACGAATGGGGCAAAATTGTATGAGATTCAAAAAGAGATCAATGACCTTGCACAAGGATCCTTAGACATTACCACGTATTATACACGAATGAAGAGATTGTGGGAGGAACTGAACAACTTGAGTGCCAAATCTCAATGCAGTTGCAATCGCATATGTGGAGCTAAAGAAGCTATGTACAAGGCAGAACATGATCGACGGCTTATCCATTTTTTGATAGGCTTGAATGAGGTCTACACAATAGTGCGAAGAAGTATTCTTATGATGAAGCCTCTACCTTCTATGGCACAGGCTTTCTCTCTACTGATATAAGAACAAAAACAAAAGGAATTCAAACCTAATAGTCAACTTAGTCTAGACTCTACTTCACTGCATGTAAATGCAAATCCACAACATCAGAATCCATTTGGAACCAGAAACTTCAAGACACATTACACAGTAAGCAACAATAATAAGGGTCGTCCATTTTGTGACTATTGCAAAAGACTAGGGCATACAAGGGAGAAGTGTTATAAGTTACATGGATACCCTCAAGGCAGTTCATACAATAATCAAAACTTCAATCGTGTCAATACTCAGTCCGATAATCAGGGGAACAACCAGAACCAATAGTTCAATAGAGGAAAATGGTATGTGGCAAATGTACATGGAACCCCAGCTGATATGATTCATGAGAATGGAGAATAGCAGGACATGCAAGATGAAAATCAGAATGTCAACCTAACAAAAGAGTAATATGGGCAGATAATGAGCTTGCTGCAGCACTTTCAAGTAGGATATGTAAGAGGATCTTCCAGCAATGGCAATGCCACCATTGGTAGTGCCAACTTTGTAGGTATTGTTATCTACACTTCTTTCATTGATTTTGACAAACCTTAATGCAAATGTTTTGAATCAAAGGCTAATCTTTGGATCATAGACTCAAGAGCATCTAACCATATGACCTTTGACAAACATGCACTCACTAACATCACTAGACTGCCAAATCCTCGACTGATAAGCCTACCAAATGGATATAGAGTAAAAGTTATTGAATTTGGAGATGTGATACTTTCTTCAGACATTATCTTACATAAGGTCATTCATGTTCCATCATTCAAATATAATTTGATTTTTGTTCACTCTCTTGTAGTACACCTTAGATGTATTGTATTCTTTAGTGATATACTATGTCTATTGCAGGCCCCTTCAGTAAAGAGGCCTCAGGTGATTGGTAGTAGCAAAAAAGGTCTGTACTATCTCTGTTCTAGGTGTTTGAAGGGTAAAAAGACAGTTTTATCCTCGACTGTTTTTTCTTACTACAATTGTATTCATGCTTCCAATGTAAATAGTCATGAGTCTGTTAGTCATACTCATTCATGTCACAATCCACAATCTGTAAATATTCCCATTTCAAATAATAAGAATGAGTCTTCATGTGTGTTTGATAAACATGATATAAATTCTCTGTGGCACAATAGGTGTGGTCATGTTCTTTTTATTAAAATGAGAAGAATATCCTCAATTCATGCAAAATTTGCGCCAAGGCAACCATTTATTTGCCCCATATGCCCTATGGCAAGAAAAACCAGACTCGCATTTCCTCAAAGAACCAGCACCACCTCCCAATTATTTGAACTAGTACACATAGACATATGGGGCCCTTACCATGTAACTACCCATGATAACCACAAATATTTTCTCACACTAGTGGATGACTTTAGCGGATCCACTTGGACTCACTTGTTGAGCTGCAAAAGTAATGCTCTTGAGGCTTTAAGGTTTTTGTGGCCATGATTGAAAACTA